AAGTAACTCTAAATTGGCAGTGCATTGAAGAATTAACTGGTCTCTGCTTCTGAAGTTTCTGTTTTGCACAATAACCTGTAGTGAAATTACTTCACATGTGAAAAGCTTATTCACTTCAGTAAATGTCATGCTCTTAATACAGTCACTTTTCAAATACTATTATATCATAAAATGTTACAGAAAATAATAAGGCTGTTTTATAATTAGAACGATGCAGGATCACAATCTCAGATTACTCATTTGCTTGAACATTCCTTTACCACCAACTGTCTGTGCGACATTTGAATGTCACAAAGCTCCTGTTATTAATATTTGCACAGTAGTGTGGAATAATAGTTTTTACATTTGCAATGAGCTCTTCTGAGATCCCATGTAAGCCCCAGATATGCTCAGTTCCCTGCAGAGTCAGGCATTGTCCTTAGGACTGCATAAACAGCTCCAGTGAAGGGGTAGGTTCAGGTTTTTAGGGGGAGGAGAACCAGGTATAAATCAGCTGAAAGAAATACATGGAAAGGTCCCAGGAATAGAGGCAATGACATGAAAGACAAAGTTTCAGATGTCACAAGGAACTAAATCCCCCACTAATTTGCTCCAGACCCACAAAGTGATGGGACCTGGTTTAAATAGGAAAGAAGAATGGCAACTTGTTAGTCACCATCCTTTGGCTTTACAGCCTGATGTTCTCAGGCCTCAGAGAGCTGGGCTTTAGAAAAGGTGGTGGAAAATGATCCTAAATGGGTATAATGGATATGTGCCTAAAGAGATGTTCCAGTTTCATGTTCTAGTGCATAGAGATCAGTCCTACACAGAATCACCTAATTACAGAATATTCTCACTTGGAAGAAACCCACAAGGATCATCAAAGTCCAGCTCCTGGCCATCCTTAACATACTACACGTGGGTTCTTCTTGCATCTTCAGCTCTCACCTCTTGGTTTTTTATTTGGTTTTCTCAATTTATTTTTAAGATTTTTTGGGTTTAATTGGGGTTTTACAGGATTTGTCAATAGAGAATCCCAGGTTCTGGAGTGACATTACTGTCTAAAATAAGGAAAGGCAATAGATTGATTTATGCAACTAAATATATACCATGATAGTTTTGGGTTTTTTTAATTTGTTCATAGCTTTTTGCAGCATAAAAAGTTCCTGTTCTGTATTCATTTTTAACAGGTTACTGGAAAACTTTGTGTTAATTCAGGAAATGTTAAGACTACACCTGCCATGCTCCTACTATGAATTCTTATCACTTTGACAAATACCACCAGGAATCTAGAAAAAAGTGAGTGTTCACTAATGTTTTTTCTTTAACAAGTCCTAAGTCTTGTTCACTAGGTGCAAGATCTAGATGTAAAACTTGTGCAATTTGTCACAGCATGTACCTACATGCTTGACAAATTTACTGCTACAAATACGACAAATATCTGCAAGCAGTAGTGAGAAGTGAACAAAATAAATGTTTTCGATAAATCATGCATTTAAAAATGAACACTTTTTTCCTTTTTTCCTTCTATGTATCTTGTTAAAAAGAGCGATAATTCATTAAACCTTTTAAACCAAAGAATTTTTTCCCTTGTGGACATCCACTTTAGCTCTTTGTAATGTCTTACTACAAACATGCATTAATTTAACACGGAGAATCTTATTTTATTTGCAAGATATAGATTAAAATATCACATTTTGGTGGGATTGTTAGGGCTCTGTACAGGGCCAAAAGTTGGGCTCAATGATCTGTCGGTTCCATTCCAATTCAGGATATCCTGCAATTCCATGAAATAATAATAATAGATATCTGAACTACTTATTATATGGATCTCTTCTAGTCTTCAAACACACTGAAATTGAAAAATTAAAGAAACAGAAGGCATGTCAAGTCTGCTGTGTTGTGTATCATTTTGCATGATGGAAAAACAGTTCCTTTAAAAGAAGGACCCTTGTTTCATTTAGTAAAACCTTATAAAAGAGAGCCCTTGTAAAACATGGTTCAGGCCTTGCTATTCTGACTAAATTAACCTGTTAAGTTCCCATGAGAAAGAAGCATAAGAATGAGAATCAGTTTGCATAACAATCTATTCTTGAAAGGAGGCAGTTTGCATCTGTGAAAAATAAAAAGTCTGTTCCGTGAGAATCCACAAAGAAAAAATGTAAACAGCTGTGCAAAGAGAGGCTTAGCACGTACACACACAAGCACCTTCTAACCAATGAATTGAGTGGCAAGAAAGTTACTGACCAACTAGAATTAAACACAGTAAATTGAAAACTCTATAAAAATGGGCTGTAACATTAAAGTGTAGCTTTTGCCACTGAAACTTTGAAGTGTTTTGTCCTCTTTGCCCGTGACTGTTGTGATTTCCTGAAAAATCTTAACTTCTAAGGAGTAAAAATCCATCATCTCTGGCATGAAAGAATATCTGATAGATTTTTATTCAGACATCACACCAGAAAAAGATTGATTTTGTTCAAACCACAACAGAATTATTTTGAGGACTGAAAACAATTTTAAAAAATATTGACCCTCTCAAACTTTTAATTGACAAATACTAATTCCAGATATTATATATATATACATATATATAATATATATAATTTGTATTTTACCCTTTTTAAGTAGCTGCTTTTGAATGAATACACAAACCAGCCAATCTATAAAATGCAAAGTTTCTCAGGTTTTTAAAGTCACATTATTAAAGGAATTTACAAAATTAGATCTTTTTCTGATCACTCATTGCTATGTATTTATAAATACTATAAATACATAGCTTTTAATTCAGTATCTTTTCTGTCTGCTTTATGTGGGATGTTTCCTTTCTTGTTCCAGACATTAGGAATCTCACAGGCTCCTACTGCTTGTGACAAAGTGCCACTAGAAACCTGCTGGAAAATTTAACTGGATTTTGAGTCTGGATAGGCAACTATTTGCAAGTAAAGTTCTCAGCTGTCTCTGTGCAACCAGAAAATTAAATATTTTCATTTTGTTGTCAATATTTCATGGTAATTTTGATTTCTGACTTCACTTTTCCTTTTTAATTTCAAGTAGTGTTTTTTCTCCCATGTGTATGATGTATTATCTTCTCTTTACACAGTATTCTTTAACTCACAGATCTCTACTTTTCATTATGTTTTCGTCATTCCTGACGTATTTCACTTTGCTATAGGCTGTGAGGTGGGAATAAAGCCTGTTGGAAAGACTTGCTGTACCATTTTCCACATGGGTATTTCTGTTCAAGCCTGAAGTGATATTTAAATGCCTTCTCTTCTTCCAGTTTCATAATCCTTTTTCTGAAGCAGAATGTTGAATGACATTTGAATGTAGCCCAAAAGAGTCTTGAGAATTGTCATTATCTTTGGAGGTGCTGAAGGAAGCACAGTGCTGCCTTTCAGAAGGACAGGCTGGAGAGATGGCAGAGAGGAACCATCTGAAATCCAGTAAAGGTGAATTCAGGGTCCTTAAAATACAGGGGTTTACCTCTGTTTAAATGTTTCTTTAGCAGCTTTAGCAATTCAAATAGTTTCTGTTGCTCCTAGTACTCCAAGTAAGAAATTATTCTCAGTTGCATTTTCCTTGGTTTCCTTTCCCTCTTCTGTCATTTTTGGGTTTGTTTGTTTGTTTTTGTGGTTTTTTTGTGGGGTTTTTTTGTTTTTGTTTTGTTGTTGTTGTTGTTGTTGTTTTCCTCAAGCAAGCCAGGTGTTTCCTAGATCTTGGGAAATACCCCATGGAAGAAGAATTCCACACACTGATACATCATATACCTCACTGCTATTTCTTTGAAATCACCTCCATCTACTTATACTGTAACTTGAATTCAAATACCTTAGAAAAACTTTACAAAACCAGAAATCAACCATGATCCAAACTGTGAGTGAAGTTTCTTGCTCAAGAAACCATCTGCGTTAACTTAAGCATTTATTTGATGCCAAATCATGGCAATGTGATTCTATGAAATTCTGATTGATTCCAGCGACTCTAAAATTGTTGTTTTAGTCAGATCTGGTGGGGGGATCTGGTAAGATTCTCTGGGCACTCTGTGCCAAGGCCTCATCACCCTCACAGAGAACAATTCCTTCCCAAATGCCCATCTAAACCTACCCTCCTCCACTGGAATATTCAACATTCTTCCCTCTTGTAATCTCCAGTTCAGCCACTTACGAAATCATATTCCAACAGCTCATCTCTGGAATTTTTTCCATTGCCTCCTGAACCATATGACTTCTCCTGTGGTTTACTCTACATCATAAAGGGGCAAATGATGGAATTCTTACTATGGTGGAAGGAAAAACCTTTTTCCCAATGAGCCCAGTATTTTCACACAAGTCTTGATCCTAAACTTGGTTTTGCACATGTGTGATGTGTAAGAGCCTCTGCATTTTTCATGGGCCCTCCAGCCTGATTTTATAAGGGGATTCTCTGGTGAGTGTGCAATTATCACATAGACATCAATAAAATTATGATCTTGGATTTTTTTGAATTTTTTTTCAACAATTCTTTGTAACTTCTAGTTATTTGTACATAAATTTCAGCCTGCAACGATATGTGAAAACACACTTTTTTAAAGCTGTGGCACATGCACTGTTGTCATTTGCATTGATCGATTTGTCACTGCGAGAGGCTGTGTGACAGTTCTGTCACCACCCTCTCCACACGCTGCTGTCCCAGCCGGTTCCAGCCGGTTCCAGCCGGTTTGCAGCTGGTTCTGAGCCCCCCGCTGGCCATGGGGTGCTGGGGAGTGGCCCGTGGGGACAGCAGCGCGTTCCGGGCTCCTTTGTGACGAGGGGCTGCGTGTGCCCAGAGCCCATTGTGACCTTGGGGCTGCGTGTGCCCAGAGCCCATTGTGACCTTGGGGCTGCGTGTGCCCAGAGCCCATTGTGACACCTGGGGCCGCGCCCTGACCAGGCGGGTATAAAAGGGCACGGAGAGCCCGGCGGTGCCCACTCCCAGGAGAGCAGCTCCGGCAGGAGACAGCGGCTCCGGCAGGAGACAGCGGCTCCCGGGATCCTGCAGCCTCAAGGCGCGGCAGAGATGGCGAGCGCGGGCGTCCAGCCCAAGCAGAGTTGGCTGCGCCGTCTGAGGCGACAGAAGGTGAGCGATGGGGCAGCACGCAGCTGCCTCGGGGCCGGGGCCGGGCTGCCGGCACGGAGGGAGCTGCTGGGCCAGGGCAGCCCTTTGGGTCCCACGCGGCCGCCTCGTCGTCAGCCTTGTCCTGGTGTGTGCAGGTGCAGATCCGTGAGTGGCGGGCAGCACCTCAGGAGGCTGAGGAGCACCGTGACTCCTGGGCTGGGCCTGGCGCGCAGGCGGCAGCAGCAGAGAGCCGGGCAGCGGCCCCGCACAGCCCCAGGGCCCGCGGCCGGGCTCTGCTGCACTCGCTGCGGCGCGGCTCCCGGGCCATCCTGAGCAGGGTGGCGGCTGTGATCCGGCCACACGGCCAGCAGCCGGGGACACAGCAGCACCGCTCAGGGACGGCGGCAGCAGCTCCCGCAGCAGGGGCACAGAGTCGGGCAGCTGCCCCGCACAGCCCCTGCTGTGTCCCCAGCCCCTCGCCCGGCCAGCTGGAAGAGCTGGGGCTGCGGGCAGGGCCGGCAGGGATGACGCTCCTTAAGGAGCTAGGGAGCGAGGAGTGGCACTGGTCTGATGATTGCCAAGCTGAGAGTGGCCAGGGTGAAAGCCTCTCAGAGTCCAGTTCCTATGATGCAGATGAACTGGAGCATTACAGAGGCACAGGACCATTCCTAGGGGGTGGGGAAAGGTCCCGCTCTGAGAAGCTCAGGTCTGGCTCATCCACAGGGTGGGCAATAGAGACAGACCTGAGCAGGAGCGCTGAGGAGGAGAGCACCTCATGGTCCCTCCAAACTGAGGCATGGCCCGAAGACACAGAGCTAAACAGGATGACCAGGGAAGAGATTGGCTTAGTGTCCCTGCCACGCAAGGCGTGGACAGAAGACCAAGTCGGAAGCTGCAGCATTGAGGAGGACAATGCCTCTGGGTCCCTGTTATGTGAGTCATGGGCAGAAAGCTCAGATTCTGAGTCCTGCATATTGCTAGAGGATGGTCTAGATGAGCTGGAGGCAGCCTGGATCTGCCAATCCCAGGTGAACCCACCGCTCCTGTACATGGGCACAGGTATCAGAAGTCCGGAGTCAGAAGGAAGCCTGTCTCAAATGGAAGATACAGAGACATTTAACAGAGAAAGGCAGACTGTCCTGAAGGCCGCTTTTTGGGAGGACTTGGAGAGGGAGAGGCAGTTAATTGAGCGTTTGCAAGGCCTGGACTCAGCTGCAGCTGTCCCTGTGCAGCACCTGCTCCCCTTCAGGAGGGCACTCAAGGCTCTGCGCAGGGCATTCCGGAGCCTCAGACACCTCATTCCAGGGCTCCATTCTTAGGAGTGTCTTAGATTCCAATAAATAAAATGCAACCAAGAGTGTGTATTCTATCATCTTCTGTTAAAACCAGGTGGGGCAGTGTTCTCCATCTCTTCCATGACTCATCCCTGATAACTCCCTTTGGAGGGATATCAGCTGTTAAAGGACCATCAGGCCCCAGTGCATCACTCACAAATGACATCATCTCATTGTGAGATGCTCTGCCCAGGGGCAGGAAGCAAGCATTCCTACCTGGACATAATCTGAATTTGAAACACCACAGTAGCCTTTACCTACTGGATTCCCAGAGGGCAAGAGCTACATAACCACCACTGCACCTTCAGAGGAAGACCTGACCCTTCTACAATATCACCACTGCAACAGAACCACATCTGTCTCTTCAACAGGATTGCAGCCACCATTTAATGGGACTGCTAGCACCACCTGAGCGGCAGGGTGTCAGGTTGTATCCTGACTCTGCCACTGTTTCTGTACTATTAGTTTAATTTAATTTAATTTTCCTATTAAATTGTAGTTCTGACTTGGAATCCCTCACTGGTTTGTCTTCAAATTAGTACAGTCTTGAAACCTGAAAAATAATATAAAAACCTGACACCCTTTGTAGATCTTGAGCATGAGAGTTCTTCTCTCTGCTAACCAGAGGCTCTGATTTGCTACAGTCCAACTCAAATTATTCGTGCTGTTTTCACTAAAGGCCACTCCAAGGAGCGTCAGAAGCTGCTACAAGGTGTAAATTGCATGAGGTTCTGCTTGTGCCTGCTGTAGCTCCAAAGGATG